CTTTTAAGTGGTTGCTAAGCACAGACTTCAATTTTGCAACAGTGCAGATGGGGAATGGCGCAGATCTTTATGACGCAGTTGCTGACTTGCATCTCAGTACGCACTTGCCTAACATGATGAAGTTGACGTAATCTGCTGTGTTGTGTTGAGTAATCCCTGATGTTACTCAGCTTGTTGCCTCATTGGAGATTCTTGAATAAAAGAAGGCCTGGCACATGTATAATAACCCTGCTGTCAGTTTGATTGAGCCACTTCAGACTTAGTAGCCGAGACACAAAACACAATCACTGATTTGCTGTCAGTGCTCTGTTGGCAGTGGGAACGTTGATAAGTCCTGTCAAGAACTTGGTAAATTAAGATGTTTCAAAAACGCTTTCAATTTCTCATTCAGAACTAAATCTGCCATTAATCCCTGGAGGATAAAGAAACTTTGAGTGTTGAATAGAGAATGAATTTGACCATCCATTTCTCCCTCCCAGCCGTCAAATACTCTCAGTGCTCCATTCTAAAAACAAATTAAAGTCGAGGGAGAGAGAAAGAAGTTTTCCTTTTTCTTTTTTTGGCGGTGACAGTGACGGAACCCCATTTTCGTACAGCCAGATCAAAGTGGCTCCGTGTGAGTGGGATCGCAGTCTGTTCCCTTGGGCTCGTAATCATAGCGCCTGAATCTCAAACCCCCTCGATGCCGACTCTGTCGCCACTTTCTGCTCTCTGCCAGGCCTGATGCCAGCATCGCGGTGCCCTTCTCTCCCTCCCCCACTGCTCCATCTCCCCTGGCTTTTCTTCTCATCTTTCCCGCTTCCTCAGTACTCCCCTGCTTACCCCCAGACCCGTTGGTGAACATACTCAGACAGTCCTCACTGACACAGCAGCAGGCTGGGGCTTGTCCCTGCTCTGACTGTCCCACTGCCTGGCAGGGTAATGAAGGCAGCAGGGGGGGCGCCTTACTGCCTGCCTGTGATGCGCTTCATCATTCCTGCCACAGCCCAAGGTTCTCTAATTAAGACACCGACTTGGCCCTGCAGATTATGTAGCAGCTGGATCATTAGCGTAGAGGGTCAAATGGCATGCATCTCTGTGTAGCGGGCGGCGCGCCTTTCATCAACCCCTGTCTCTGTCAGCTCACCTCTGGTGGCCACCAGAAGGCTCTGCCTGCTTCTTCTTCGATACCCCCTTTATACTGAGTGTTTGATGTCAATTGAAAGATATCAAGACCACCAGAAAAAGGAGTATGCCTTGGAATTTTTTGGTTATGACAATTCACACGGCAAAGTGCAAGTCTAAAGTCACCTTATTTATTTATTTATTTATTTGGTACCACCGAGATTAACATATGCAGATCCATCGGTTTGGATGGTCTCTATTTTTTTTATATCTTCATACCTTACTGATATTTCCTGGTGTATATGATAGTGACAGTATTTGTGTTAAAAAAATTGTTAAACGGAAACTAAGATGATCGCTTCATTGCCTTGTTAACTCATTGTAAAACACACTTCATTCAAACATGACAGAAAAAACAACACTCACCAGATTTTTTGAAAGCACCAATACTCAACCTAACAATATTATTGCGATATCGATATCGAGGTGTTTGGTCAAAAATAATGTGATACTTAGTTTTCTCCATTTCACCCAGCCCCATGTTAAATATGCTGATTTTCCCTGCTGTCAATTTCTGCCTTTACCTGACGACTTTTTACTAGTCCTATTACGTCATCCCCACCACTTACAATTGCTGTGTTTCCCAGCTCAGCTGCGCTTTCCTCCAGCAGAGACTGACCTCTGGTGGTATGTGCTGTGCACTGCATCACCTCGATACAGCATCTCCGTATCAGTTTGGTAGACAGAGGAGCTGCTTTATTTTTGACAGTATAAAAAATAATTGCTTTGGGCTTTCTAAATACCTGTAAAACAGTGATACTGCCCAAGCCTAATCCTTACACTGAGTTTATCAGGTACACTTAGCTATATCTAACGCAATTCAGCAATCACTAAGGAGCAATTATTTAAATCAATGGCCATTTTATAAGCTGTATGTTTCCAGTGCCATCAAATTTAATGGTATTTTATGGCTACATTTCATTTTTCTGAACTAATTGATCAATTGTTAAGTCTTAAAAAAGTTAATTAAAAAAAAAAAAAGTTAAAGACCCATTAGAGGTGCTCAGAGCCTGAGGTGATGTCTTCAGATGTCTTGTGCTGCCTGACTAGCAGACTGTGCAAATATATATTGAGTTTGCAATGTTACAGTATAGAATGAAGAAATGCGCCAAACTCTCCCTTTAGAGAAGCTGGAACCAATGATTGATTGAAAAATGATTGAAACAAATGATTCATTTAGTGACACGAAGTTCTGAATTTATTTTCTCATGATTGACTTATTGTTTCAGCTCTATTGTATAGCGTTATATTCAAAGTGGCAGGGGTGGGCAAAATGTACCATGATAAATAATGTACACTCATAATGTATGGTGGCCCTTTGAGTAGTGCTGTACATATTCAAATAGTGTAGTGCTGATAATATATAGCTGACTATTCAAAATCAAATTTTTTTTATATTTCAATAGGCTGCCTTTCAAAGAGGAAAATTACCATCATTAGCAGCTTGTGAGTCACCTTTATTTCAGTTACAGGGTGGAGGTATTTTGTGTATGGATTGTTTGTCTTTTCAGTGAGGAGGAACTGTTCTCCACCAGTAGGCTGACTCACCTGTCAGTAGTCAGTCAGCAAGTCTGCTCATCTCTCAGTCTGCTCATGACTGCAGAGGTTGGGAGACTTACCTTAAACTCGCCTTTGGTGTTTTGATCAGGCCTCCAACCTGTGAGCAAACATGGTGCAACTGTTAATGAAAGAGGAATATAAAAGCGCTGTGAAAAGTAAATAACCAGCATGGACAGATTAAAGTGAAACTCGACTCAAAATTTATCTTTGTGTATCAAAAGGCTTGAAGGGCTGCCATAAAACATTTAGTGGCTTCTTCTAGTTGAATTAGGAGAGTTGTAGGCAGCTGTTGGCATCAGTCAGAATAGATTTAAAAAGTGACAATAATGGGAATAAATAATCAAGGCATTCATAAAAACCTCTCAAACCACTCCTGCAGCATAATCTGCTTATTTGTTGTCCACCTTCTTGCTCAGTGTGTTCCAAACATTTACCAAAATATGACCAATTTGCAGCTTTCATGTCGTGCTACTGCCCTTTTCAAAGCTCAGCCAGCACATGTGGCCATAGTATGGTGAAAATATTTTAAATATGCTGATCATACAGATGGACAGTGCAGGATTGGATGCTCTAGCAGTGGTTTGAGAATCTTATTCAGTCATAGGTATTGCTTTTTTCCTCCCTCAATAAAAACGTAATTATGGACGTGAATTCAGCGTGACCACAGCTGCTGCACAGCCACGTTCACCAGCTATTTTAGGTGGAGTATCACTTATAAAATAAAGACAGGAAATCAAATAAATAAAAAAATATAAATGCACTTTGCTCAGAAAAACTTGGATTAGAAACTTTTCAGTCCCTGTTGAAACCTAACACTGATTATAAGGGAATATTTAAGACCAATGCTTCACCCCATTAATGATCTCCCGCAACTGGATTTGGTTTTTCTGCTTCCCAGAGTTGTTTTTTGGATGTATGAAAAAATGCCTTCATCATGTGGCTCTGGCTGTATATACTGATAGCAGATACTGAATTGGCTGCTGGGCACAAGCTAACACCCGCTGTGTGAGATCAATTGAAAGGGACAACCGCAAACTGCTTTTGACCAACTACGGCCGAAACAGTTTGCCCAATTTAGGAAATTTTTCACTATAGCTGCTGCCATTTCATATCGACAGCAGATGCCCATGAAATAATATTCTTTTCTTAAATTCCTCAACACCCTAATGAAGTAAGATAGATGTAAATATTTTGAAATATTTTACTCCAGACCCTTTTGAAGAAGTAGCATGTTTTAATAAAGACAAAGATTATAATCATTTGGAGTTATTATCTTTAACAAAATATGTGAGATTATTGGCACAGTGTTTGAACCACAGTTTTATAAATCGGGTTAAATTGGGTAATAATGGGGTGTATTTTCTTACTGCACACAAATCCAATTTTTGAAAGATACGGTATTTGACCTATTGAGTGCCGTCAGGACTATTTATTCCCATCCTGACAGCCTGAGTGCACACTCAAACTCGCACATGTTCACACACAGACGTACACACACTTGTGCGAGCATGCTTAGTCAAGAGAAAAATCCCACAACTTGGTGAGGATTTCTCATTCTCCCGCCTGTTCTTTTTTTTTTTCTTCCCCCCACAGCCAGATTGCAGTGTCATCCTGCTCAGGTTTTTTTTTTCTCTCTACGGATCCCTGTGTTCACCTCCATTTGTAACTTTAGGCCTTTCTACTCTGCCCCTCTATTTTAAGACAGGGAGGGCAGTGTGCCGAGAGGGACGGTGAGACAGGCTGTTGTGGGCTGCACTCTGCACAGCACGGCCGACACGCACAGGGCCGGGGATGGTTTGCAAGACGACACTGGCTGGCTTGTTTACGGCAGAGGCTCCGTTTGGGGGAGGAAGGGGAGGAAGGGGATGAGGCAGGCAAGCTGGCAGGCAGGGAAGAAAGGAGAGGGGGTTTACTACCCTCAAGAGAGTCGGAATTCCTCCTGAGCCATTCCCCCATTTGGCTGGCAGTTGTGAAAACAATTGCCTGGCATTTACTCTCTCTCTGTGCAGATGGAGTCCCAGCTATGAGTCAGCTTTGAGAGCAGCAAGTGGTAGAGAAAGTGGTGGGCTTGTGATCTCCTGCACAGCGAATATAAGCATACTTTACAGAGACGCTCGGTTTTTGATGTTGGCCAAACTGTTCAGAGTTGCTTCCTCGTTTGCATTACTTTTCGTCCTCTGCAGTATTACTGATATGCATATCTTTTATTTCCAATGTTCTCCTTGTAACAAAGAGTGGCTGACTAATAAAGGCATGTCTGTTTCCTGTTTCTCCAGAGTTGACCTACAGAAGACGTCATGCTGAAGTCTTGAGCTGAGGGAGACTTCATCCTCAACCTGTCACTCGTCTCTTGTTTGTTATTCCACACCGGGTCCACTCTCCATCAGTCACCGAGTACCAACACCAACAACCACCGCCTCCACCTTTTCCCCTACCCCCCCTGCCCAGCCTGCCGTCACCATGACGTCGGAGCTGGAGAGCAGCCTGACCTCCATGGATTGGCTTCCACAGCTGACCATGCAGGCGGCCATCCGCAAGGCGGACGCCCAGAATGCCCACGGTCCAGGCATGGGCAAGAAGAGTACCCTACTGGATCCTAACACCACGTTGGACCAGGAGGAGGTGCAGCAGCACAAGGACGGCAAGCCGCCCTACAGCTATGCCAGCCTCATCACGTTTGCCATCAACAGCTCGCCAAAGAAGAAGATGACACTGAGCGAGATCTACCAGTGGATCTGTGATAACTTTCCCTACTACAGGGAGGCGGGCAGCGGATGGAAGGTGAGAACAAGAGATGTCTGGCCTTTATTTTAACACGATATAGCAGATGTAAAAGTTTATTGCCATCGTGATGATGATGGAGTTGCATTCTGGTTATAGTGGGGCTTCTGATTTTATGTCAAATCAAATATGACACATTATTTTAGTGCTGTTCAAATTGGATGTCCTTTTGGTTGCTGCAATGGCTGATATACAGTAACTCGTATCAGTTTATTCACTCATGAAAAATCTTCTTTGGTCTTACGTTTTTAGTGGACAGCCTTTGTAGAGGAGTTGAGATTGATATTCCCTGACCTAAAGGTCCAGTGTGTAGGATTTATCGGGATCTACTGGCAGAAATAGAATATAATATTCCTGATTTTGTTTCAATTAGTGTATAATCACCTGAAACAAAGAATCTTGTGATTTCATTGACTCAGAATGAGCCCTTTATTTCTACATAGAGAGCGAGTCCTCGTCCACTGAATCCACAATGTTTCGCTGTCATGTGTCTACAGTAGCCCAGAATGGACAAACTAAACACTGATGCTAGAGAGGGACTTTCTTATTTTTATGTCACCTGAAGGCCACCATTTCATTATAGGGCTGTGTATTGGCTAGAATCTGGAGATGCGATAGTGTTGGCGAGGCAGCACATAGCAATTTTTTCAATCTAATTTTTAGGAAAACTCTCATAGTGCAAAGAACACACCACCGTATGCATAAAAAAGGAATTTGCCTGTATCAGTAAAAAAGTAAAATAAAAGCGCTTGAGGTTAACAAAATACAAAATAATGCAAAAATTAAAATTGACAGTGTTTCTGAGAATTGATATCATGGATAGTATCATAAAACATAATATTGCAATACTCAAGGGTGTCATATTTTATGTAATATTAAAAAAATGTATATTTTCTTACACCCCTAGTCTACGACACGCTTGGAAAGGGAGAGGTGGATTAGATTTACTTGACATACGAACATATTATTTGACACACATTTACAAAAAATGATCAGGTCATCTACTGCAACAAATACATAATTCATTGAAAATGTTGAGGTCAAACAGATAACTTATATTCATTGTGGTGATCATTCTCGTGAGACAACAATAATAATACAAGTCACATAGGCTTACATAAGAAGCTATACATCCATCCATATTCATCTACAGAGTGAGGCAAAATCTGCATCCTCACCGCTAGATGCTGCTAAATCCTACACACTGGTCCTTTAAATCATTGTTTTGTGGTTGCCGTGCATCTTAAACAAAGTGAGATGCCATTGGTAATCACCATTGTCACTTCTGAGAAAGCTTGGAGAGAAACTATGAGTGCGCCAAATCACACTAAGTGCCTTACTCCTCTGGATGAAAAATGGTGCAGCCCTGAGAGAACCATATGAAGTGTAAAACCCTGGATTAATATTCAGAGAAGTGGCCCCTATCTGTGCGAACACAGACTAAATAGCCCATTCATGGGTGGTATTATTCATTGCAGATGCCTTGATAGGAGAAGGCCATTATGCAGAAGAGAGAGCCAGTGCTGTGTCATCATCTCAAGGAGCCCATGATATACCGAGATGAAGCTATGCTGATTGCCTTTTAAAGGGCCCAGATGGAAATTGATATTAGAATGAGTTTTCCAATCAGTCGACGTTTATTGGAAATAGAATCTTAGGCACTGCTTTATTGCAGTCAGACAAGATGTATGAAGCCCATTTCCTGGGGCGACAAGATCTGGCGTGTGTACAGGCTGCATGGAGGTGTGTGTGTGTGTGTGTGTGTTTAGGTGAGGGGGAGATGAGAAAGCATGTGTTATTATAAATGGATGGATTGATTTCAGCTTTTGTGGCAAGGCCTTTTGTAAGGAAATGAATTGTTTTATTTTGCAACCTTTGTTTCGTCTTTTACCTTCATCATCCCTTATTTAGTTGTCAGCAGCATGTGTGCTGTCAGCCTGCATGTGTTCCTGCATTGAGTTACCGGCATTTCTACTCAACACTGAGGTCAGCTCTATATTTTGTATACCGCCCACCTTCTTTAGCATCAAATTTAACCATTTACTGCACACTAACGATTTTCAAGACGTTGCTTCAAGATTTCTTTGTTGCTGCGTTAAGTTAACAAGTCTGGCTGCAGAGGATGTCGCACTCATTGCTCAGTCTGTATCTATCAAGATACTCTTCACTGTTAGAGTAATATTTCTTTGCATCCAGAGAGAAGCTACGAGTTAATCATCATTTATGTGGGTTGGAGTGGACTTGGTGAAGTCTTGTGCACATCCACAGACTTTATTGCTTGGAAATATGAGGGTGTGACTGACTAGCCCCACTAAAATAACTGCAGATAAGACACAACATTTAGCTGACACTCGAATGCATATACTTTTTATACATTTTAGAGTGGGTGTCCTCAGTGGGAATCAAACTGGTGCTGCTGGCAGGATTGTGGATTTGCTCTACCCACTGTGTTACAGTCCCACTGCAGGTACAGCAGGAGTGATATTGATTCATCAAAGCTTGGCTAATGTGTGATGCTGTTCATGTGCCTTTGGTTCTTTTGTTGTCACGTGTGGCTTTATGATGACATCAGGTGCTGGTGTCAGGATCCCCATGGTCAGGACATTGTTATGTTTTTAAACTCTTGATTTGAATGCCTAAAAATAATACAAAGCATTCAAGATTTGTAAATGTTATGAGATCCTGATGGATAACCAATTTCAAACTATCACAGGAAATGTTACATTTTACATGTGGTTAAAAAGCAGCTTCTCTAGTTTAGTTCTTTATTTTTCTCTGTGAAAGTGTCTGCCTTCAACCTATTTGGTAGCTAACCAGCAAATGGGTTCAGTCCTCTTTGGGATTAACTGACCAGGGCAAATTTCCAATATGGGAAGTAAGCATGCAGTTTCTGGCAGTGTTAGATCATGAAAGATGTGTTCTATAAATTCACAAGGTTACTCCATGAGGCAAAGCAGATTTTAATGCAGGGTTGTAAGCATGGGTAAAGGTTGCATCATATGTAATATCACAGTAGTGCGGTTGTGAAGATGGTTGCAGAAAGATGAGTGTGATAATTCCAGAGTGTTTGCAGGTCCTTAAAAACATAAAAAATATTAGGCCTCAAAAAGCATTAAGTAGGCTTAAATTTGAATTTGTGAAGTCTTAATTGCCACAAACATTTTATCTAATTTCTTTTATCCATCTTTTAATTTCTTTTTGTCGACATGAGTCAAGCTCTTGTGCGTGAAAGTCCACATTTCTGATGTCAAAAACCTTTAAACCTACCACTAAAACTAATACTGTATTTTTACTTTAAACTTGCACTTCCCTGTTGGCAAAATGTAGATTAATCTAACCCACTCTGATAACCATATTCCTAAATAAAGCTTTCCTCTGCACAGGACCACATATACTGTATACCACAAATCTATACTTACCTGCAATGCTTGAATAAGAAAAAAAATGATCTGTCCAAAAATTAGCCTTAAATTTGGTTAAAAAAAGGTCTTAAAAAGCATTAAACTTAGGTGTCTGATACCTGTAAAGTATTATTTGCATTAAATGAATTGCACTTTATTTCACTATAGGAAAATCTACTCCATGTTGATGCTGCTTTCTAGTGAGTCCTGTGAGCAGAATGCATTGTATTCAATACATCATATTCAATCTGCCAAGGCTTTTATGTTTTGTTGTTTCAATTTCATGAAATTTGGTGTGCTGCCGGGCTTTGAATTAAGGAATAATATTAGAGATTTTAAGGGATTTCTACCATTACATTGTTGTCTATATTTTTCAACAGCGATGAAACTAACAGAAATATGAAATGAAGTGGAAAGCAGGTTTTTTGTTTTTTTTTTCATTGTTGGGTGTAATGTAGATTTGACGTAACTGGAATAATGCCACGGGTAAAAGAGCAAGATATAGAATTAGTCAGCATTGGTTGAGATTGACGCTGTTTGACTACTTTCTAGCTTAGTAAAAGCTTGCATAGATCAACAGATTCTGGCCTAAATGTGGGTTGCAACTGTAGAAATACCCCTCACATTTAAAAGTGTGAAAAACCACATCACTCCAGGATGCTGTACAACACAGGAAACACTGAAAAAGCAGTTTGAAGATGTGCTCATATGCTAGAGCCTGCGTCACAATTTTTTTCTCAGTTCTTGTTAATGGGGTGTTTTCCCTGCCATCGTTTTTTTCTGAGAATTTAAACAACTGAAATAATGTGTATGGAGTATTTATAAAATCTTTTCATTGCATAAGACATTTGAACGAAATCCAATAGTGCTGTTTCCATGCCCGGGGCATTTGAGCGAGCTCCAGTAGCCTTAGGTTTGTTCCTAATGTTTTTTGTGCTTGGAGAATTTTCACAACCCATCACACAAATGATATTTTCCTCTAAGCCTGTGCAAAAGCCTGAGAAAAGTTTCTCTCCCAATCATCAGGAGGTCACTTGGAGCTTGCACAGTCGTGGGCTGTTTTTGGCTCTGAAACCCTCAGAGACGCGTCTTTGGAGAAGTATCATGTACACCTAATTATTGTATATTTCTGTAATGCATACAGTAGTAACATTTCCCTTGCAGTGTGACTTTTACTATGGTATGAATCCACCTATACTGTGACCGAGTATGCATGTTTGTGTGTGTAATTAGTTGGAAGCAAGCATGCCTGGGTGGGGTGAATGTAGGTCGGATGTAGTCATCGCTCCTCTGTTCCCCTGGAGATGTCAGTCGCAGGAATTTGGGACTCAACACACGCATGCGTCTGTTCTGTATGATAATGCAAGCTGTGCCGGCGAGATGAGACCGGGCTAATCCGGGCACCAGCAACTCATTTAATCATCTCAATAGAACTCCATTAGCCTGCGCTTTTAAGAAATATCAATAAGTGCTGTCAATAAAAACAGATAATTCATCAAGGTCAAAAAATGTGAACGCTGCCTCCGAGAGTACAGAATATGTGCTCGGCATCTATGAGCAAGCAATTAGGTGGTGCTTTTCTTAACACCCTCTCCAGCT